TGAGGTCACACAGCTAGGAAAGAATGTGTGAGGATCCAGCTCCCCTTTGTGGGTCTCAAGATGACTGTCTGTTCTCCTCCTAGGAAGGCCTCTCCCAGACGTGCCTCAGGAGCCAGTGGGCTGTGTCTTCAGCGCAGGAAGGGTCTCAGGATGTTCCTGATGGGGGCGGGTCACTAGCACACACCAAGGGTGGGCTGAAGGAATGGCAGGCCCCTGTTAGACAGCAGAGGGGACCAGGTGAGAGTGGAGACGCAGCACCGCAGCTGCCTGGCTTCAAGTCTTCGTGCCCCCAGCTCCTTGCTGGTGACCTTGGGCAAGTGCCTGTCCCTCTCTGTGCCTCAATGCGAGACTTGACAAGAGGAAGGTAATGGACCCCGTGCCCTGGCCTGCCTGTCAAGCATCCTGCTTGTCTCCTCCTGCCCACTGAGCTCTACTTTTTCTTCCCCACTGGGAGTGAAAAGCTGGGGCTCTGTGGAGTCTTCTGCTCTGTTGGCTGGAGCTGCACAGCCCCCAGGGGCTGCAGAATTGATTTTGACCACCAGCCTTCTCCTCCAGTGTGGTTTTGGAGGAGTCCCAGGAAGCCACACTTCTGGGCGCCCAGGGGCTGGGAGCAGGCAGGGCACCATCTGTTGGGGGCAGCAAGGCCGGACAGACTGTCTCCATGCGGCACAGCCCTCCAGCCGCGGCCCCCGCCAGGCCAGCTGTGTGCAGCTGCAGAGGGTTCACACAGGCCGGGTAGGGGAGCGCTGGTGTCGCGCCTGCGTCTAGTCCTGGGCATCCTGTAGGTTGTGCGGCTCTCTGCGCCTCCGTGTGAGGCAGGACTAGCGATGATTCTCACATCCGGGTAAGCAGCACTTGCTGGGCGGGCTGGGTGCTGGAACATTCACACACCACTGTGGAAAGCAGCTCCCGCCGATCCCATGGATGAGTGGGGAGACTGAGCAAAGGAGCCACTCGAGTGCAGGTCCTGGGGGTGCTGGGGGCCGGTGTCCAGGACGGGAGAGATGTGGTCGTGGGCTATGCAGGTGACCTCGGGTGGGCTGAGGCCACTGAGGAGTTCGCAGCAGTGGGTTGCGAGGGGCTGGGGTGGGAGCCACTCACTGGCCCTCTTGGGGCCTTTCCTTCCACTGTGACCTGCGGTGTAGACAGAGCATCGGTGTGGCAGTGAAGGTGGCTGCAGGTGAGGGCCAGGAGCAGGGTCTCCAGCTACGCTCCGGTCTGCCCTGCCCACCTCCAAAGCAGCATCCACCCTGCTGGTCTGGAGCAGGCTTGCCATTCCCTGTGGGTGACGCTGTGCCCATGGGTGACACTGACACACTTGGAGCCTCTGGGCGCTGATTGAGGCTCCATTATAGCAGCCCCGGGCTGGCCAGCCTCAGTTTCCTTGTCTGTCTGGTGAAGAAGGCAGCAAGGCCCAGCTCGTGCACACAGTAGGTGCGCTGTAAGAGGTTGCTCTTCTGCTGGGTGAGCGGGCGCTGGCACAGCCCGGGCACACACAGATGCTGAGCGCTCCCAGTGAATGGAGCCCCGCGTTTTCCCTGCACCAGAGAATAGACTGCTTCTGCCTCTCTGGGCGCGAAGCCAAACTCAATATGAAATTTTTTTTTGAACCTCCATGTTTCAGAAAGAAATAAAAGCAAGTCAAGCGATCTTGGTCTAAAGCGAGGCGCTGCAACTTTTGGAATTACAAAACGGGAGTGAAACAAAGTGGGAGCGAGTGCAGCCTTGGGGGAGGGGACATTCCCCCCCCGCAACACCCACACGCCCAGCCTGACCAGGGACAATGGCAGCCCTGAGACTCGGGCTCCCCCCGCCCCACACGGCCACCCGTCCCTCTGATGCATGGGACAGAGAGAGCTTGTCTCCGCTGGCTTCCACACCCCCGCTTGCCATCCAGGCCAGCCTGCTGCCACTGCGAGGCCTGCCTCAGGTCAGGTCTCCAGCGTCTCTCGCCTGGACCCTCAGCCTCTGAAGGGGCCCCTCTGCAGCCTCTTGGAGCTGAGATAGGACAAGGCAGGCCACCCATCCCATTTAGAATAAAATCTGAACTCCACAACCTGGCCTCGGCAGCCCTGTGGGACCTGGCCTCGGCAGCCCTGTGGGACCTGGCCCTGTCCACTGCCTCCATGTGATCCATCCCCACGTGATTGCACTCGACTCCCACCTCCTTGGCCTCCTTGGTGACTTTCAAACATACCAAGCTCTTTCCCGCCTCAGGCCCTTTGCACTTGCTGTCCCACTGCTTGAAATACTGTATCCCAGCCTGTCACATTTCTGGCTCCTAATTCAGGCTGATTTTTTTTAATACTCTGGCCGGTAAAATAAGTCCAGGGGCCAGTTTTGACCCATTTTGCCACTTCTAATCTGGGGCTTCCAAGCCACACATGTTTTCTTTCTCTTGCTAGGCATCTGCTCATTCAGAATTGGCAGAGGCATTTTCCCTACTTGGTTTGTCCCCGTCTTTCTCAGGGGCTTTATGAATGTGGCCACAGGGTGCACCCTGAGGAAGGGCAGGCTGTCATGGATGTTTTATGCCTATGTTCATGAATTTCCCTTCACTTGGCATACCTGCTTCCTCTTTTTGAGCCTGGTGAACTCATATTCAGCTTTCAAAACCCAGCCTAGGTGGCCTCTCCTCTGGGAAACCTTCTCTTGCTGATTTAGCTCCTTCCTTCTGGGCCTACAGGGTTTTGCTCGCCTACATCTTGCAGCAGTTAGCATGGGACGGTCTGGTGAGCTTCGGGCAGAAAGTCTCCTTCTAGCCGTGACCCAGTTGGAGCCAGTGTCTGCGGCTCTGTGCATACAGTCGGCATTTACAGGACTGAAGCTTTTCTTCCCAGTGGGGACTGAAGGGCAGTTGCCACTGGCCTTGGAAACCCGAGAGACACGGAGGGGCCTGAGTAAGGAAGGAGCCCTAGAAAATTCTGTCTGTTATTGTTCTGGGCTGCTGGAGTAAGTTGCCAGCATCTGCAGGTGTCACAGGGAGGCCTGGCCCTCTATGCGGTGCCGAGGGGCAAATCCAAGACTGTCCTCGGCCCCACGTCCTCCGGGCCGTACGGGTGGCCCACGTTCATGGTCTGGCTCCCAGGTCGGTCTTCACAGAGCGAGGAAAGCACCGCCATAGTTCCCCGCCCTTGCTGGCAGGTGTGGGTGTCCAGCTGAATCTGGACACATGCACACTGTCCCCACAGCGAGTCCTTCCCAGCAGCCACCAGCTCTGCTCCCTCAGGCTCAGTGTGAGGTGGGCTGAGGACCCAGGACATGGCTTTTCTAGGGGACCGAGACACGTGCCAAGATTCAAGGTTGTCACGGGTCTGAAAGCCAGGGCTCACAAAGCAGAGGAGTTTATTTTATGACTCGGGGCTGTCATTGTTTCGTGCAGCTGTCACAGAGCACTGCAGACTGAGCCATTTATCACCATCTGAGGTTATGGGGTCACAGAGGCTGGAAGTCTGGGCTGGGGCTGGGGGCACTGCTGCATCCTGCAGAGAATGCGACGAGGAGAGGTAGACCCAGCTCCATAACAAGCCCACCCTCCTGGCCTGGTTGTCACTGGAAGTCCTAGCCTCAGCGGTGCTGCCTGGGCGGCAGCCTTCCCATCTGGAAATCTAGGGACAGTCCAGCCGCAGCATGGGGTCTGGTCAAATCCCAGGCCAGGAGGGATGTAGCCAGTCTCAAGACAGCCTGGAGCTGCAGCGGGAGAAAGTGCCTTCTGGACTCTCCATTGCCTGCCTCCGCGGTCCTCTGAGTGCCAGGTGGGGAGAGGGGGCTGTTTCTGGGTCCCCAAGGCATTCCCGAGCTTGTGCCTCCCCGGAATCCCAGGCCAAACTTCCAGGCAAGGCGTGCAATTGGCTATCCTGGGTCAGGTGATCGGCCTTGGTGGAAGGTGAGTGGATCGTACTGGGCAAACATGGCAGCTGGAGCCCACCAGACTAGATTCTGGGGACAGCCGAGAGCACTACTAGTGTGGTAGCTACGGAGACACTGTGCCAGGGTCCCCTTTGGCTCTCCCCATTTCCTGGGGCTGCTGTCTCCTGCAGCCCCCGAGACTCGCAGATGGAGCTCAGATCAGCTGCCCGTGCTTCCTGCTGTTCCTGAGTGTGGTGGCGGCTCCGCCAGGTCCAGCCACCACCTCTAGACAGGTGGTCAACGCGTGTGGGCACCCGTGAGGAGGAGAAGCCAGGGTGGCGGGAAAGTGTGGGTGGTGTTCGAGCCCTGAGAGAAGACCGCGGCGTTGGTCGATGTACGTGAGGGACCAGATCCAGGAGCTGCACAGTGCTGCAGCTTCGCAGCTTCCGGCTGGTCCCGAGGGAGGGTTCCGTACATTTACTTGGTGCCATTTTATTAACTTAACTTTTAAAGACCATCCCAGAAATCAAAAAAGGAAAACGCGTACAGGAGAAAACAAAAATCACTCATAAACAGATCCATGGAGGCATCTTCGGGTGTATCCTTCCAGGGTGGTTCTTTGTGAGTTTTTATGACTAGATGGGGGTGAGAGGGCTGCTCCAAAACTTGCTTTTTTGACTGCACAAAACACCGGGCTCTTCCCAGTGGTCTTACACTGTCTGTTATCACACTTCCGCTCATCTGGACTGAGGATGCAGGAAACAGCTACATTAAACCTTAGGTTCATATATTTGAAGAAATAAAGGAAACCATCAGCCGTGTCCCGCGGCTCCTCGTGGGGCTCAGATGCAGCATCCCCAGCCTCCACTGGCTTTTCTTTTCCTTTGGGTAGAATTACAGAGTGTCACCCTCACACCCCCATGCTCATCGTATTGTCCCCGGCACAATGGCCTCCCAGGAGTCCTGCACCACACTGGGTGGACTGGCTGTGGTCTCCGTGGCTGGGGACGCTCTGTGGACGCTGCACAGCCCACCGCCACCTGTCCTCTCACCCACCCCCTTTCTTCCCTAATGTGCTCGGCAGCTCGGCCCAGGGATTGCGGGGACCTTGCTGGAGCTGACCTGCGGCAGACCATCAGGTAACAGTGGCCGGTTCATGGACTTCCTGCTCCCAGATAACCAGCACAGCTAAAGTTTGCTACAATGGGACAAGCTGGAGAGGATCGCCTCCTTTTATAGGTGGGGAAACTGAGGCTTAGAGTCATCAAGAATAGTACTTCAGAAGAATATTAGTACTAGTAGTCTGCTGACAAAAGTCAGACAGGAGATTTGAACTCACGACTGCTCTGAGGCCAATTTCACACCCTGTCCCCTACTCATGCTGCCTCTGGAGCTAAAGAGGTAAGAAGGGTGCAGAGGACTGGTTCATCTTGGGGTGACTAGGAGCCCGAAGAGGTCATTCAAGACAGTGGTCCTTTCCCAAGGAAGGACCAGGACCGGGTGTCAAGTGTAAAAACCTTCTTTTGTAGTTTTTTAAATGTATAGACTCAAGGTTTTCCAACAACCCAGTAGGGAATGTGCTGTTACCCTCAGCTTAAAGGACAGGGATAGTGGGGCACAGAGAGGTCAAGTCTACTCAAAGTCACACAGCTGGAAATTGATAAAGGGGACTATGACTAAAGCTACAGTCCCCATTGGGCTTGCACTGACCACGACTATTATGGCCTTAGGAAGGATAAATCTAATTGTCTCCTAGGAGGTAGCAATAGGGATTTTATCAACAAACACACTGTATTTCTCTCAGGAAGTGAGGTGGCCTCAGGAAGGATGCACAGAGGGCCAGAGTTGGAGCTGGCTGGGGAGCGTGCAGCAGACCCTCCTGCTCCCTATGTCTTTGTATCTTCCTGTCCTTTCCTCAGGAGTGGGCCTGGGGGGACAGAGGGCTGAGGATGCCTGCTGGAGCCCCCAGCCTGTGTGGGGTCCCTTTGTCACTGTTATTGTGGAGAAAGGTAACTACAGAATCCTGGTGCTCACTGTGCCTGTATCCCGCCTCTGTCCTCTAGGGTGACCTTCAGCCGCAAAGCTGCTGTCCACGTGGACTGGGGCCGAGATCCTACGTCCATCCGCCAGGACGCCCACGTCCAAACGCGACATGGCGACCAACAGCAGCAAGGTGGCCGACGGGCAGATCTCCACCGAAGTCAGTGAGGCCCCCTTGGCCAACGACAAGCCCAAAACCCTAGTGGTCAAGGTGCAGAAGAAGGCGGGGGACCTTCCTGATCGAGACACGTGGAAGGGTCGCTTTGACTTCCTCATGTCCTGCGTGGGCTACGCCATTGGCCTGGGCAATGTCTGGAGGTTCCCCTACCTCTGCGGGAAGAACGGCGGCGGTAGGTGGTGGCCTCGTGCCCTCCCAGCTGGGTCCTGCTCAGGCACTGTCTGGGGCAACCTCCGGGGAAAAAGCCCTGTAAAGATTCCAGACGTTGTTGGTACTGGGTCTCATTTCTTGTTTCTTGCCCCTTTATCAAAAGAGTCCTGTGTTAGTCAGCTCCTGTCTCTGTGACAAAATACCTTGGAATGATGACCCAAGGAAGCACTGTAGATTTTGGCCCACTGTTGCAGCCCTTGGTCAGCGGGCGTTGCGTTCTGGTGGGTGGTGAACATCATGGTGGAAGGGTGCGGTGGCGGGGGGTGGGGGGAATCTGCTCACCTCATGGCAGGCAGGAAGTGGGGGGGCAAGATTTAGTCCCCAAGCCTGCACTCTCTGACCGTGCCCTTCCACCAGCATGAGGCCAGCAGCCCCGTGATCTAATCACCTCCCCAAAGCCCACCAATTGGTCGCCCAGCCTTCAACACAGTGAGCTTTAAAGACATAGAAGACCTCAGCCTCACAAATCCCAAAGCACAGTTGTCCTCCCCAACTGATGCAAACGTTCATCTCTTTACTTTGCAAAGTGCAGTGCGTGTATTTGGAGCAGAGGGACACCCTTGGGCTGCAGTTTGGCTTTGGGCATGCTTTGGAAACAGAGCGGGAGGTCCCAGAGGGGGACCTGGAATCATAGTGCCCCGCCAATGAGAGGGGGCCCCCCAAACTGTGGGGCCACAGCCTGTGTCCTGTCACCTGCAGGGGCCTTCCTGATCCCCTACTTCCTGACACTCATCTTTGCGGGGGTCCCACTCTTCCTGCTGGAGTGCTCCCTGGGCCAGTACACGTCCATCGGGGGCCTGGGTGTGTGGAAACTGGCCCCCATGTTCAAGGGTAAGTGTGTAGGACATGCCCTGGTCACGGGGGGCTGGGCCCTAGTCATGGGAGCCCTTCCCCAGGCCTGTGTGCAGCCAGGGCCCCTCCAGAAGGCTCACATCTGAGCAGAAGGGTGGCTGCTGTGGGCAGAGGGAAGTGGGTCTGGATCCTGCCCATCCATGAGCTCACTTCACTCGAGGGAGTGACTCTGCCCCTGTGGTTGGTGCCGGTGGGCACTCAGGAGGCCTTGTGGGAGCCGCAATCACTGCTCACGGGCTGGACCGGCTCGCTGACACTCTGAGCCCACTGGCCAGGTGCATATGGCCTCTGGCTGGTCCCTACCTTTGTAGGCTCGGTGTCCCCAGGGTTGAGGAGGTAGTAGCTAGGCAGTGGCTGTCACCACACACCAAGCAGGGTAGGGACACTGTGCTCTGTCCCAGGTGTGGGCCTGGCTGCGGCCGTGCTGTCCTTCTGGCTGAATATCTACTACATCGTCATCATCTCCTGGGCCATCTACTACCTGTACAACTCCTTCACCACGGTGAGACAGCCTGCCAGCCTCGCCACCCCTGCTGCCCCCGGGACCCTTCTGCTATTGGGGCTGTCCCAGAATGCGTGCCATAGGACTCCATCGTGTGACACAGAAAGCAGGAAGTGGTTCACAGGGCTCGGGAGAGGGGGAGCTGGGAGTTAGTGTTGGGTGGGGACGGGGTTTTGGTTTTGCGAAATGCAGAGCTGTAGATAGATGACGGTGATGGCTCCCTGTGATACGTGTGCTTAAAAATGATCCGGAAGATAAATTTTATGTGACACATCTTTACCACCAAAGGGAAAGAAAAGGAAAACAACATGTGAATTTGTGGAAGCTCATGCCTGTAATCCCAGCTACTCGTGAAGCTGAGGCAGGAGGATTACAGTTTTGAGGCCACCCTGGGTAACTTAGTGTAACCTTGTCTCAAATATAAAAATTTAAAGGGTAAAGGGTGTATGTAGCTCAGTGGTACAGCATGTTCTTAGCATGTGTGAGGCCCTGCATTCAATCCCCAGTACCAGAGAGAGAGAGAGAGAGAGATGGAGAGGGAGAGAGAAAGAGAGATGAGAGAGAGAGAGAGAGAGAGAGAGAGAGACAGAGACTAACAAAACATAAATGAACCCTACCCCATGAAGCTCAGAGGTGCAGCAGCAAATGCATGTGAAGTGTCCAGGTCCCAGCTGGCTCAGGAGAAGCACCGTGTCACTGTCATCATCCCTGTGCAGAGTCACAGAGAAGGGACTTAGCCCAGGACCCAGAGTCCTAAGTGCAGTTGTGAAACTATTCTCCTTGAGCCAGTCAAGGTTCACATTTCAGCACTGACACTTCATAGCTGTGTGACCTCAAGCAGGTTGCTGTCCCTCTCTAATCCTAAGAGCTGCTGGGGAGAAGAAGTGGGTTTTCAAAATTGCCCAGGGGATGGTGAGGAGGGACGGAGCCAGCTCGGACCCTGTTTGCTGGCCTGAGGGCTCCTGAGAAGGGTCCATGTGACCATGTCCTTGCAGACGCTGCCATGGAAACAGTGTGACAACCCCTGGAACACAGAGCACTGCTTCTCCAACTATAGCATTGTCAACACCACCAACATGACCAGCGCTGTGGTGGAGTTTTGGGAGTAAGTGTGGGCAGCATGGGGCCCGGGAGGACAGTGGGGACCAGGGGCGGGGGGTGCAGCAAGGTAGAGCCTCTTTCTGCCCAGGGCAAGCTGTGCACTGAGGGGCCATGAGGGAGACGCAGATGCCGGATGCCCACTGACACCTCCCATGTGGAACTCTCCTGGGCATGTTCGAGCTCTAACTCACTCAGCCATGTGTTCCACACACATGGAACACCTACTATGTGCCTACTATATTTCCTGAGCACCTACTATGTGCCAGTGGGATGAAAGACATGGCTGTGTGAACAAAGGACTCCACTAGGGGGAAGCACACACAGGTTTCTTGTTTGTGGGAGGGTAGCCTCTGAGAGAGAGAGAGGAAGTGGAGGAGGAGGAGGAGCAGCAGGAGGAGGAGAAAGGGGAGGGAGTCAGGGGCTGGCTCACAAGGCTGGGAGTCTGTGCTTCATGCTGAGAACAGAGGGAGCTGCTCACTGCAGAGCACCGTTGGCAGCGGGTCCCCTGGAAGCCTCTGTGGCATCCCAGTGAACAGTGACAAGGCTGAGCAGCAAGTCCCGCTCTCTGACCTCCCGACACGTCCTGGTGACACTATGTGGGGCCTCACCATCCCCACACAGACCAGGAGGTGTGGCTCATGTGTACGCCTGGGCACCCTGCATCCTCCGTCTGCCCCAGCCCCTGTGACGCTCATGGCTGCTCTGTCCCACCAGGCGCAACATGCATCAAATGACGGACGGGCTGGACAAGCCGGGTCAGATCCGCTGGCCGCTGGCCATCACCCTGGCCATTGCATGGATCCTGGTGTACTTCTGCATCTGGAAGGGTGTGGGCTGGACCGGGAAGGTAGGGATGTGTGCAGAGTCGAGGAAGGCAACAGAGGTCCACAGAGGGACACGGGGCCTCCTCTCCCAAGAGCACTGTCCAGCCCTGATAAAGAGGTCCCTACAGTTCTCTACTCCCCCGTTTCCCTTTCTGTGAAGTGAGATCATAAAGGTTCCGTGCAGGTTGCCCAGCCCGGGCACACAGAGGCCGGCTGCTCCCACTGGCGGTCACATGGGTGGGCCCCTTCCAAACTCCACCACAGGAGCGGAGGGACAGAGGCTGGCTGAGTCTGTCCCTGGCCACAGCCTGAAGGACGCCTTTCTGGGTAGCAAGGTTGTCACTGCCCGGATGAGGAAATGGGACCAGAAAGGACACGAAGCTGACCAGAAGTCACCCAGTCCAGTCTGTAGGTCATACACATGATGTTGAAGCCCCCTCCCTAATTCTAAGGGCAGTGGTGTCTCCGGTGGATGGCAGCTGCCTTTCCCAGTCCCACATTAACCTCGAGCCAAGTCCAAGGCAGGCACGAACCCGGAGGGAAACCCAGGATGGAGGGTCGCAGCAGAGCCGGAGACACAAAGTCCACTGCACTTGGAAATTGCCCCTCACACAGTGAGCAGAGAAACGAAATTCCATGCAATATTGGTCTTTTGATTATCAATTTGACCAAAATAGTTCTCTTATTACTGTTCTCCCTGCCAGCACTGTGGGAAAGCTGCTCTGCTGCTGAGTGCAGCCCAGTTCTACAAGTCAATTAGGCAACGTGGGCCAGAGCCCTGGAGAAGTCGATTCTGTCAGTAATTCACTGCTGGAAAGAGGTCCCGGGAGGGGCATAATAATTTTGTAGATAAAGATTTATATAGAGATGTTCACTGTAGTATTTACATTCACATAAAATTAGAATTAACCTCAATGGACAGCAGTAGGATGGACTTGAAAGGGGACAGTGGGACCCTGAGGGACCATTCCCTATGACTAAAAATGACACTGTGTATGACACAGTGCTCAGGAGACAAAACTGTATAGCTGTGGGTTTTTCAACTTTAAGCACTTTCAATGGGAAAGCAGCTGCAAATGTGACCAGACGTGCTCAGGAGAGCCTCACAGGAGCTATCCTGAAATGTCAGCGTCCATGTACTTATGGAAGGGCCACTTGTGGGACGGTCCTAGGGACTAGGGAGACCAAGCTGTGAATCACACAAACTCTGTCCCTCATGTAGCTTCTACTCTAGCGCCAGCCAAAGGGGCCTGTGTGTTCATGTGTAATTTCTGAATTTCCCAGGCATCCCACATATGACTTGGGTAATTTAGAAATCATAAACTGAGAGGAAGAGAGGGGGATGGGTCAGGGAGGGGCGGGCGGGAGGAGATGCGGAGGAAAAGCAGGTGCTGAGCTGGTTGGCTCAGACATCAGGGAGGGGCTTCCGGGGGTGGACATCAGACTAGGCATCCAGGAGGGCTTCCTGGAGGAAGAAGGCCTGGCCCCGGGTGAGGCAGGGGCAAGCTGGCCGGTGACTCTCGCCCACGCCCCTCAGGTGGTGTACTTCTCGGCCACCTATCCCTACATCATGCTTATCATCCTGTTCTTCCGCGGAGTGACGCTGCCGGGGGCCAAGGAAGGCATCCTCTTCTACATTACGCCCAACTTCCGCAAGCTGTCCGACTCAGAGGTGAGCACCCCCTTCCTCGCAGCCGGAGGACAGCCCTGGGCCCGAGCCCCACTCACCAGCCTCAGATGGGGCTGTTGTCCCTCCGGCAGGGCTGCTGGGCGCCTGAAAAAGGGCTGCGGCTGCGGCTGTTAGTGGGACCATTTTCCATCCTCCTGCCCACAGGTGTGGCTGGATGCGGCTACCCAGATCTTCTTCTCCTATGGGCTGGGCCTGGGGTCCCTGATCGCTCTCGGGAGCTACAACTCTTTCCACAACAACGTCTACAGGTGCCAGGGTGCAAGATCCTGGTCCTTCCTGCCCTACTCCTTCCTCCCAACTTCCACTGCCTGCCCTGCCCTGGCCTGCCCCGCCCTGGCCCCGCCCCTTTCTCCAGACCCCGCCCCTTCTCCAAGGCCCTGCCTCTGGGTTCCCAGTCAAGCCCTCTCGGCCACGCCCAGCCCCCAGACATTCTCATTTGCGCCTCCTTTTTTGCCTTCTTGATCACCCCGCCCTGAGCCAGCCACTCAAGGTCACCCGGCTGGCCCCATTTCCTCCTGTCCCAGATCCTTTTGGCCCTGCCCTCCCTGGTGCTCCGGGACCTGTCCTCAGGGCTCCCTGTCCTCAGGGCTGCATCTCCTCCGGCCTGCCCCTCCCTGACCCAAGCCCCCCTCTCCAGGGACTCCATCATTGTCTGCTGCATCAACTCTTGCACCAGCATGTTCGCGGGCTTCGTCATCTTCTCCATCGTGGGCTTCATGGCGCATGTCACCAAAAGGTCCATTGCCGATGTGGCCGCCTCAGGTCAGTGACGCCTGGAGGGCCCTGCGCCCAGCGGTGGAGGGGGGCACACTGCAGGGCCCATGTCACCTCCATGACACAAGGCCCCCACATTTTGGTGCTTTTGTCCCAGCACCAAAAATGCACTCATCAAAAACTGTGCCCACTCCAGCCCCTCTCCACTCCCCGTTCAGCCGGTCCATGTGCTCCACTGAGGCTCTGGAGACACACGGGTGACGCACCCTGTCCCTGTCCCTCGGAGACCTGGCTAATCACATTCTCTGCTGAGGCTCTGATCTCCCCTACCGCAATAACCCTCCACCCCCTGCCACGTCCCAGGGACTCCCCAGCTGCCACCCCTGCCTGCTTTCAGATCCAGACCAAGGAGATGGCGATCTCCTTGCTCCTCATTCCAGGGCGTCCCCAACACCCCAGCCAGTGCGCCAATGCAGCCCCCCAGCCTGCCCCCACCTGGTGCTCCCATCAGAGGAGGAGCCCGCTGACCAGCGGCCAGGCGGGAGCCTCAGCCTCACCCCACACCCTTCCCTGCCTCCCCACAGCCCCCAGGGCCTGCCCTCCACCTGCCCCTCGTGCCCTGGCAGGTACTGTCCCTCCCACTGGCCAGGCCTCTGCAGCCCTGGTCTGGATGAGGTCACAGCCCTGCTCTGGTCCTCTTACCCGAGGACCAGCCCCACAGCCTCCCACCCGGCTCTTTCCTAAGATTCCTCCACAGATGCCAGGAAACAAAGCCTGAGAAGTGGGCGGGGCAGTGGGGGTGCTCTGAGCGCCCACGCCTTCTCCTTCCCGCCTGCCCCCAGGTCCCGGCCTGGCGTTCCTGGCGTACCCAGAGGCCGTGACGCAGCTGCCCATCTCCCCGCTCTGGGCCATCCTCTTCTTCTCCATGCTCCTGATGCTGGGCATCGACAGCCAGGTGAGAACCTGACGCCTTGCGCCCCCCACTCGGGGCTGCTCAGTCCAGAGCCGGCAGAGAGCGGAGGGCACTCCTAGATCCTCAGGAAAATGACCCCAGATCCAAGATTCCTGGAATGTTCTACCCCGTGAGACCCCGGGAAGCAACTCAACCACCATCCCCACTTCCTAGGGAAAACCGAGGGCCAGAGGGAAAGAGTGCTCCTGAGGTCCCAAAGTGAGCGAGGGGTCAAACGAGTCTGCGCCCCAAGGCTGGCCGGGTCCCAGTGGGGCTGGGGCTGCTGCAGGCGGCTGTCTCTGTCCCCCGCAGTTCTGCACTGTGGAAGGCTTCATCACTGCGCTCGTGGACGAGTACCCTCGGCTCCTCCGCAACCGCAGGGAGCTCTTCATCGCCGCCGTCTGCATCGTGTCCTACCTGATCGGCCTCTCCAACATCACCCAGGTGGGCTCAGTAGACAGCTGTGCACCCGGGGCTGCTGGGCCCAGTTAGACATTAGATGACAGTGTCAGGAGAAGATCAGGACAATGAAACTGAGCGTGGCCCACAGGTTGGGAGGGACTCTGCCTGGGACAGGATGGCCGCAGAGGTCTCTCCAAGCATGTGACAGCTGAGCTGAGACTTTTGATGAGGGACAGCTGGGCAGGGAGGCTCCAGGAAAGAGACCACAGCAGGTGCCAAGGCCCTGTGGTGGGAATGGCTTTAGGGAGCTAGACGGATGGGAAGGGGGCAGAACCTGTGGCGTCTGGATTAGAGCCGACTTGACTTGGTCTCTCTCTCTGCCTCTTTATGTGCTATGTTATTGTCCTGTGTAAGCCAAGGGAGCTTTTAGCAGGGCAAAGGCGTCTTTGAGCAAAGATGGCTTGGTGACCACTTCCTCGCTCTGCCCTCCAACCCTGCTGGAAACGGGGTGTCTCCCTCTGCTACCTGGACATTTTCTTACCAGTCCTCAGAAAGCGAACGCCCACATCCGGTCATGTTCACAAAGCCCTTGGTTTTCTCCCTGTAGTCCGTCCTCTAGCTTTCTTGCTGCAGTGTAGCCTAATAAGGTCTGCCCTCTTCAGGCCCAAGCTGAACGCTCTGGGTGCTGGGGTCACTCACCTTTCCTCTTACAGGGGGGCATTTACGTCTTCAAACTATTTGACTACTACTCTGCCAGCGGCATGAGCCTGCTGTTCCTCGTGTTCTTCGAGTGTGTCTCCATTTCCTGGTTTTACGGTGAGCAGCACCCTTCTCCCTTACTCGTTCACTCATTCGTTCATTCCTTTCATCAGTCATCATTCAACAAACGCGGTGTGAGCCCCAGGCCCTCCCCCCACAGTGACTAATTTGGTCTTCACAACTATTCAGTGAGGCTGTGTTTAGAAGACACAAGAGGAACAGTTAAATACATTCAGTTAAAATGGGGCCAGCGCTTCATAAATTTGGGGATAAAAAGGTTAGTTGGAGATTTTATGCAGAAAAGCGAAACCCAAACTGCTGTATTTTTTTAAAGCTTTAAAGCTCCACATTTGAGAACAACTAGGCTATACGTAAAAGTCTGTGCTCTCTGAGACAGAAAGCAGGGATGCTGATCTTGTGTGTTGCTTTTGTGTCTTCCGCGTCCCAAGCCTCCTGCCCGTTGGCCCCAGGGACGTGCTTCCCCGCACATCCAGTTACCAGAGCAAATCGAGTGTTCTGGAGGTGACGCGGTGCTCCGTGTCTCCTCCGGGTAGACCTGCACCTCGCCTCCTGCCAATGTCCCCTGCCCCCTGCCAGGCTGGTCCAACCAGTGACTTTGCCTGTGAGCTGACTGGTGTTCAGGTGGGCTCTGGTGACTTCAAGGCATCCTGCAGGTTTGTTTTTTTTTTTTTTTTTTTTTTTTTTTAATGGAATTTGCAGTTCTTTATAATCAAGTGCCAGCAACAGACCAAAAGGGAAAAACCCTGTCCAGTGAAGCCACTGAAGGAACATCTGGGACAGATGTGGTGCAGGAGGGTCATTGAGAGCAGGACACATTTTGTAAGGCCCCTTCCCTGGTGGCTGTCTCTGTGTCAGGGTGACTCACTTTCCTACTTGCTGCGGCTCCTAGAAATGCTTCCAACACACGGCATCGCTGCTGCGTTACAAAGAGGAAGCGGGTTCGGAGGAGTAACGTGACCTCTCATGGGATCTGCTCCTGGTCCCGCCACAGTAAGGGGCAGGACCCACCGCTCACACACCCCCATTCTGTTGCTCCAAACGTCACAGGTGTCAACCGATTCTATGACAATATCCAAGAGATGGTTGGCTCCAGGCCCTGCATCTGGTGGAAGCTCTGCTGGTCCTTCTTCACCCCGATCATTGTGGCGGTAAGGACGAGGCTGGACCGCCTGTTAAGAGGAGGCTGGCATAGGTCAGGCAGCTCAGTTCCGGGGAGACACTTCAAGGGCAAAGGCAGGAGGGGTGGCCCCCAGAGCCCTGGCTCCCCAGTGTCTTTCCCTTGCGCCTGCTGAGTGGAACGGTCAACCCGTGACAGCAGGCTCACGTCCTTAGGGGCACGGGTGCTACGGGTCCGCTTACCCACTGAGGGGTGGGGGCTCAGCCAGCCTGTGCCACTTGGCCACTCGGAACTGGGGTACTTGCAGCTAGGCCGATGTTCAACCTTGCTCTGTTTACCTGGGAGAGGCCAGCTTTTCCTACGTCCTGCCCAGAGAGGGCGCCTGTCCTGTTGTGCACAAAGGTGCCTGTGTACCAACAGGGCTTTGGGTATCAGGATGGGGTCAGCCGTGGGACAGGGTGGAAGGCGAGGGCCCCGGCTGGTCCAGTCTGGGTGACCCTCCCTCACCCCCCCCCTACCCTCCCCAGGGTGTGTTCATTTTCAGTGCCGTACAGATGACACCCCTCACCATGGGCAGCTACGTCTTCCCCAAGTGGGGCCAGGGTGTTGGCTGGCTCATGGCTCTGTCCTCCATGGTCCTCATCCCTGGGTACATGGCCTACATGTTCCTTACCTTGAAGGGCTCTCTGAAGCAGGTAAGCCCTTTCTTGCCACCCGAGGGGCTGCTGGTCCCCTCCCCACATGCTGATGCAACCCCATCCCTGAGGAGCTGCAGGTCCAGCTGGGGAGGGGACAAACTGAGAGCCATGGCACTGGGGTGCTAGAGGGACTCTGCTAGGGTGAGTGGAGGAGAAAGGCACCACGAGCTCTGCCTTAGTCCTGCCTGGGGACTAAGAGGATTCGACAAGGCTTCTCAGAAGTGGGGGTCTCTAAGGAGCGCCTAAGGGTCAACTAGGTGTAGTGGTGGGCACTAAAGGAACATTCCTAGAAGGGAAAGGGGAAGACACACTGCATGTGCAAAGGTCCAGGGGTATAAATGGCATTTGGTGAACTGAATGGAGGTGGATGTGGATGCAGGGCAGAGTGGAGAGGGTAGAAGGCAGTGTAGGAAGATCAGGGAAGATCAGGTAAGATCACAAAGGGCTTTGGAAATCAAGACAAGAACTTTAGACTCTGTCCCAAGGGCTATGGGGAACCCTCAAGGGTTTGGGGCAGATGGAGGGCAGGGTCAGACTTGTAGAGGCTTCCTCTTCATCTCCCTCTGCAGCTCACTGAGAAGAAAGTGTGCTCTTACCTGCAGGAGAAGCGCCACCCTGCTGTCCCATGCAGGCCGGCTTCTCTTTTTGTGTTTTGCTTTTGTTTTTGTTTTTTGTTTTGGAGACAGGGTCTTGCTATGTAGTTCAGACTGGCCTTGAACTCACTGTGTAGCCTAAGCTGGCCTTGAACTTGCAGCAGTCCTCCTGTCCCAGCCTCCAGAGTGCTGGGATTATAGTCACATACCACCACACCTGGCAGCTCCAGATCCCTTAACCAAACCAAATGCTTGGGACCAAAAGTGTTCAGGATTTCAGTTTTTTTGATTTGGAAATACTTGTATAAGTACAATGACATACTGGGTAATTTTAGCCAATATTTTAGCACACTTACGTTCTGCCTCACCATGTCACACCAGGTCGGGAATGTCAAGTCAGCACTCAGAATTTACAGATTTGGGGGGCTGGGGATTTAGCTCAGTGGCCCAGTGCCTGCCTGGCAAGCGCAAGGTTGTGAGTTCGATTTCCGGTACTGGAAAAAAAAAAACCCAAAAACCGAAAAAAAAAGAAAAAAAAAAAAGAACTTACAGATTTGGGGGTACTGGGTTTCAGAATCTCAGGTGGGGGCCATTAAACGTATGCTTCGTGTATACTAGCTCTTTGTTAATTTGCACAGAATTCCCGGAGCGAGGCAAGACAGTCCGGGGTGCCAGGTGGGGACTCAGGGGGCCAGCTCAGGCAGAGGTATCCTGCAGGAGGGTGGAGAAGCTCACCATGGAAGCCACCAGGAAGCCACCCACTCTGGGTTCTACTGACGCTGTCGCTGCCTCAAGGGGGCGCTCTCAGATCTAAGGCACCAGGCTCTGTGCAGCCCCTGGAGTTGCCTGGCCAGTCTGCTTCTCTCGCAGGTAGAGAAACTGAGGCCCTCAGGGGGAAGCTGCTTCCCAGCCCTTGCAGTGGGTTGTTCACAGAGCCAAAACAGCCCCTTTGTCCAATTTCAGGTCCAAAGCTTTAGCTTTCCACAGCAAAAGCTTTGGGTGTTAGGCAAGATGGGCAGATAGGCAAGAGAGTACGTTCTAGCAGAGGAAGGCATACAATGAGCGAACTAAAAACCCCACAAGATGGGGTCATGTCTCATGGAGAAAAATGAAGTAGGGGCTGGAAGAGTGAGAGAGCAAGCCGCACAACCATCTGAAAGCATGCACATGCAAAGGCCCGGGGCAGGAACTCACCCGGTGTATTTGAGGTCAGCGTGGCTGGACTGGATCAGCAAGGGTGGACAGGGGCAGACATGAGGTCTGCAAGGCCGACTGCCCAGAGCACCTCACGCCTCCCTTCCCTGGTGCCCACAGCGCATCCAGGTCATGACCCAGCCCAGCGAGGACATCGTCCGCCCGGAGAACGGCCCAGAGCAGCCCCAGGCCGGCAGCTCAGCCAGCAAGGAGGCCTACATCTAGGGCTGGGCTCTCGCAACCCGATGCTGTCACCCCTGCCTGGCTGAGCCCCAGTGACCGCCACTTGATGACTGGACACCTTCCATCTGCACCTACCTCAAGTGGCGCATCCCGACACCATCGGCTCATGGAGGGGCATGGGGGACAGTTGGACCGGGCGGGCCCTGCCATGGACAGCAGCACCCAGTGGCTGCCAGCGCCGGGGGCCTGGTGATCTTTTTCATGGGGTCCCAAAGCAACAAGTGGCCAGTTAGCATTTGTCACGGCCGCGGTAGCCCATTTTTAGCCTGCCGGCGAGTGTGGCTGGGAGAGGCCATGCGCACTCCTGGCTTTTAGTCATTTTCCTGACTGTTCTCTTACTGCCAGACCCTGACTGTTACGTGGGACTTCACGGGAGGCCGGCTCTGCCAGATGCTGCTTGGGACCCACAACACGGGCATTTTGTACAACGGGACCACAGGGGCTTCGCACGAAGGGGCAGGAGCCAGCAGAGCTCTGACTCCTCGGCTGTGGGCTTCTCCTTCCTGAGGCAGCTGACAAAACACCCCCGGAGACCTCAGGCAGTGTCCTCTCCCCGCGTCCACAAGGGGACGGGCCTCTGGGCAGCTACTTGACTGCCGGGTTCCGAGTGGACCTGGCCCACCTGCCCCTTCCAGAAGGGCTCTGCGTGCTGGAAAAGTGCTCCGTGCACAGCTGATTTCTCTTGGTTGCCACCAAGGGGGATGTCCCAGCAGGAGCACTCATTCACTGCCCGCCTTTACAGAGCACAAAACCCCTGCAGAGGGAAGAAGGGGAAGGGACTGTCCTGGTCAAGGCAGACCCAGCGGTCCCGCAGGCCCCCCTATGCTGTCACTCGCACTGCCACCCCGTTTTCAGCTGCTGCCTCCTTTCCCCGGATCCCTCAGCAGGAGGCACTGTGACCCACAAAGCCCACTCACTGAGGTGCCAGTGTTCTCCCGGCCTCCGTCCCACCCCACCTTGGGCTTCTGAAGCCAACCGTGCTTCCTTGGGAAGTGGGAGGTGTCCCTTTCAGGAATCGTCTTCATGGTGTTGGTGGCAAAGCCAGGTCATGGGGTCCTAGGAGCTCCTGTGAGGTGGCCTTTTCATTGGCCAAGAGAAAGGGTCCCTGTAGCAAAGCAGAAGTCTCCCCCTGTAGGTCCTTAGCTTGTTAGCTCGCAAACTGTGTTTCCTGACTAATCCGTATTAACTATGGTAAATACTGTGACTGTGAGTTTTTCAGTATCTTCTCATGCTCATCCAGAAGCGACCAGCACACCAGTTCTTGCAATAAGATATTACCCTCAGAGCACCCAGCACATTATCGTAGAGAATTTTAAACGTCTGTATGCACATAGATACACGCACCATGCACATCTGTCCCCGTGTGTGGCTTGATGGGTCTGCAGCTTTCCCAAGGCCATCTGTAAAATAGTCACATTGCCAAGGCACCCCAGGCTGTGTGGGGAAGCCACAATCCAGCTGCGTCTAGTTGTGAGGTTCTAGGGTTTAGGACGGAAGGACCCGCCACTGTGTCTCCCTGTCCCATCTGCTGCCCAAGCGTGCATTCCCTTAGGGGACAGCTGGGGACTCCCTTCTCTTTGTCTTCAACATGAAACTGAGACCGTCTTTCTATGATAAATGCCGTATATTTAATGTTTGTAAGCTCCTCCAACTGAGATGTTTGGCAAGAAATCCCCTAACTGATTTCCACCCAAACTCACCTTATAGAGCACAATATTAAGTCTCGTACATCTACTGTGAGATCCGTGAATATGTGTAACTTTTTTTTTTTTTAGTATTTGCCCGGGGTGGGGGGAGAGATATTGTATTATCATATATGCTTTTTTTGCAATAAGGATTTATTCTCAGAACATCAAGTAAATTTATCTCTATATTAAAAAATATATGTAATATATACATATTCAAACTATATACAGAGCCTGTTTTAAAAAAAGTTACAGTATTATTTAGTAAAATTATCTGTTCTATGGACCAAATGTAAAATATTTATAAACGAAGATGCATTTTAAATGTCTATGGTGTCATAACTAGAGCACGGGCGTTATGTAAGTTTCTAAGAATTTAGAGGAAAAATAATAAAGGTTCTATGATATGCAATAACTGACCTTCAGTTCTTATGGGTGGGGCAAGTAACCTCTTTTGTCATAGGTGCCAACTATTTTTCCCTAACAGAGAGGGATTTGGGCTGAAAATCTGGCAGAATGAAAGTGATCTTCCCCAAAGTTATAGGACAAGTGCAGAGAAAATGACGGCACTACATCAGAAGGTGATTTCTCTGTGTAAAGGGTCAGCAAAATAAAGGTTTAAAGCCAAAGGATAAAAGTTAAAGCAGCTTTCATTGACACTCATTTGCTTATTGACTCATTCCTTAACACTAATTTTTTATTAAAAAAATTTTATGTAGGAAAATGTGACTCCACAGAGAAGGCATAAGGACAGTTTGATGGATACACACACGCCCCTCGTAGAGTCACCAGTTGTTGGCTCGTCTATTTTCCTTCTGTCCCTTCTGTCCCTGTCTGTCAGTGTCTTATCTTGAAAGGGGACACTGAACGTATGGTGGGACGAGGGATCCATCACAGAAACAAGACCTGAGACACTGTGTGACAGGTGGACAAGGGTCTGAAAGGGGACCAGGGTGAACGAACAAATCTCCACATACCTTCCCACCTCCTGCACAGCCTTGGAGGTGCCCCCTGAGCACAGGATTCCAGCAGGCACATGCGGAGGGGCTGGGCGAGACTCCAAGCCAGCACAACGTGAGCACGTTATGCCCCCTCTGAGTGCTGGGGCCTGGGAGAGCCTGGGAGGTGACTCTCCATCATAACCAAGAAAGTGCTCAAGCCCTAGTGACCAGGGAACCCACATACTCTTCCCTGCGAGGGCGTTGTGGTTTGGATATGAAATGAGTGTGTCCCTCAAAGGGCATGGAGTGGAGGATCGGTCCACAGCATGGTGGTGTCAAGTTGGGGGGCACTGCCACAAAGTCACAAAGCCCTCACTTCCAGCCTCCGGAACTGGGAGCTACATGAAGCCCTTTTCCTCCTAAATTATGCAGCCCCAGGTATTTTGTGATAACCACGAAAATACATTAACATAGCAAGCCACAAACATGTGCCAGCCAACCAGCCAGCCAGGCATACAAAAGACTGGTTAAGGATAGGGTGGGCAGGCAACCCCTACTTTCCCTTTCATAATTAGCCAAAAGTAATGAGTGTTGGCAGAATGTGTGCATCTCAAGAAGCAAAATAAACTTAATTTTGTGCAGCTTCCCACTGTTCTGGCAAAAATGAAATGTGTGTGCAGATACCAGCATTGGAAAATGTATGTACTGTATAATTTCACATACAAGTTAAATGTACTTATATTTGAGCTTGCATATTATAAAGATGAACAAAAACTTTATGCTAATAACAAAATTTCTTTTATTTAGAATATAAATAGCAAATAAATAAACACCATGATGAGTTGAAAGACCACAGAAGCAAAGGGAGGTTTTCTATTTTACACTGTAGCTTCACTTTTCTCCTGATTTTGGAACCAATAGCCTTGCACTTTCCTTGGGCACTGGGCTCTTCAGGTTAGGTCACTGGCCCTGTCAAGCATTCAAGGAAGAGTTATAGTTTAGAGTGTCCCTCCTCCAGAATCTTTACACCTCTCATGTGTTAGGCCTTTAAAAGGTGGAGCCTGGGCTGGGGATTTAGCTCAGCGGCACAGCACCTACCTGGCAAGCTCAAGGTCGTGAGTTCGATTCAGGTCCTGGAAAACCCCCCCCGCCCCCCCGCAAAAAAAAAAGGTGGGGCCTAATGTGAGGAAGTGAGGTAGTGAGGGGTGTGTCCCGGAAGGTATGCTGGGACCACACCACTTTCGTCTCCGCCTCTTCCAGGGGCGGTACAGTACCACTCTTCTTTATGGCTTGCTCCTGCTGCCTTTGCATGCTGCTCAGCACCGGCCCTGAAACAGGAGCAGAAGACCTGGCCTGAAGCTTTCGAAATCCTGAAGTAGAGCACACCCTTCGCCTTTACACGTATTTTGTCCCACAGCGCGCACAGGAAGGGCAGGGCTGGGCGCGGAGACTGACGGGAGGAGACAGGTGATTGCCAGTCTGCCCGAGCTTGTCTCCTCTTGCTGCCTCCTCTCGCATGTACGCTGCAAGGTTATCACTACTGTTTTGCTAAGCCATACGAAAATAACGTGCTGGTTCGGAGCCCTGCTCTTCCTCAGTAAGCAGAAGTCTCCCAGCAGCCAGGACCGTCTTGACGTAACCACAGAACGCTTATCAAATCCGGGGGACCTCACGCCACTGCGGTGCTGTTGTCCTCTATAGCCACGGGCCGTTCCTCCCGTTGTCCTGAGGATGTCCCTGCGCGGTGCGCTTCGGTGTCCTGTCCCTTAGCAGGTGTTTTTGAGCACCTGTCACCTGCCAAGCAGAGGTGAGCCTGCCTCTCCTGGACTCACAGGGGACTGATCTGGTGACTGCAGCCCCAGGGCCCCACACGTGGCTCCCCTCTGAAGGAGAAGCGAGATTTCTGTTTCCACGTCTCTGTTCTCTGAAGCAGCAGCAGAGACATAGGTATCTCAGAAGCAACACACAGCCACGCATGGCAGCACACACCGGTAATCTCAGCACTCTGGGAGGCTAGGGCAGGAGGATTGCAAGTTGGAGCCCAGCCTGAGGAATTTAATGACTTATGAGACCTTGTCTCAAAATAAAAAAATACAAAGGGTTGCAGATGTAGCTCAGCTTGAAGGCCCTGGATTCAGTCCCCAGTACTGCCAGTCAGTGAAAGAGGAAAAGAGATAAAACCTGTTTCTCCCTCCGGACAGCAAAGGGTCAAATTAAAGAAGCCACCACTCCCTGGGTGAGGGCTCCGGTTCCCTCCACCATTTCTGTGGCTGCTCCTTTCCTTCTTCCCCCTCCTTCCTTGAGCCATAAATATTATTTTTTTTTTCTTTTTGGTTTTTCTCCGGTACCGGGAACCGAACTCAGGACCTTGTGCTTGCTAGGCAGGCGCTTTGCCGCTGAGCTAAATCCCCAGCCCCGAACCAAAATATTCTACCTAAACTTAAAAGGCAGTTCGAGCGGGGGGCTCCCCCTACCAACAGGACCACGGGGACTTCCCTCAGGTCCACTCTGCCCCTCCTGCCCTACACTTTCTCCTAGCTTCTTCCCTCTCTGAGGAGAGTTGGAAACAGGGCACAGGGCTCAGTGTTGGGAAGAATCTTAAAAGACATCTTGTTCTGTTTGAAGCTTGAGTTGTTTCCAGGGAAGTGCTCTGTCCAGGACAGTGCGCCCTGACTCCCGCTGGAGAGCTGATCCCAAGGCAGATTTTGATCCAGCAGGTCTAGAGTGGAGTCTGAAGTTCTGCATTTCTTTTTTTTTTTTTTTTTTTTTTTTTTTTTTTTTTTTTTTTTGGTTTTTCTCTGGTACCGGGAACCGAACTCATGGCCTTGCGCATGCCAGGCAAGAGTTCTGCATTTCTAACAGTACTTGTGGTCCTTTACTTGTACTTTGCATAACATGGATCCAAAGAGAAGCACCCGCCTTCTGAGATACTCATGGGAAGTTTAAGAAACTGACAGAATACTCAAGTCAGATTGCCTAAAACATAAAAGAGAATTTGTCAATTCATAACAATTGCCAGAAGATCTGGCTCCAAGTATAGCTAGATCCAGGTGCGCAAAGGATGGCTTTGGGAATTGGTCCCTGCCCGCCTCTCAGTTCTGCCTTTTGCCAGCCTTGGTTTACCCTCCAGTTGTCTATATTCTTAATGATGGAAAAGAATAAACTGACATCCTACCAGATTGGCAGCCACACTATCAAGGAAGCACCTTGTCCCGTAATAAGGTACTGTCACAGTCCTGGGATTGGGTCTCCCTGGACCTACCTAGGACACATATCCACCTCATAGCCAGTAAGTGTGACCAAGTGCATGGGACATGCTGAATGGCCAGGCCTGGTCATCTGGTCACCTCTTGAGCAGGAGGCTGAATCCATCACACCAAGCACGTGGACTCTGAGCCAGGAGAGCGTTGGGTCCCAAATGCGGTGGGAGGGAGTAGAGGCCCACTTAGCATGAGACCAGCTCGTCAAAGGACTTGAGAGAGGCCTTCCTTGACACGGGTCTCCCAGTGGCTGTGCCATTTGCTGTAGCTTCTGCATGGTGGGCCCATGTGGACACAGACAGTAGGAACTAGATGTTTCTGAGGTGGGTTGAGATGATCCAGGTGATTCTTCCGCAGACCTGGAGGTGGATATGAGGAACACCTGGTCCAGACCACCATCCTTTTGCACTTGGATCATGTGAGACTCCTGACATGTCCCATCTCTCCAGCCCCACCCGCCACCAGGAGGCAGAGTGAGTTCTTAAAGCATCCACCAGCACAGGTTGTGTCTCTGCTCTGGCTCCTCCACGGGTCCTCCCACCATGTCCAGAGAATTGTTCCACCACCCTCCTCCAGCCCGCACTGCTCTCCAGGATGTAACCAATGCTTTTCTCACCTCCACACATGCCATTCATGCCCTCATTCAGAACATGTGGCTGTAGAGGCCATTTCTCTGTCCCTCAGACCTTTGGACTTGTCTGCTCCAGGACCTTGCCTCTGCCTGGGGTCTGTGGGATCACCACGGAGGCATCAAATTAGCCTGGAAGGGCAGCCTGATGTGCTGGAAGAGGAGCCACCTAAGTAGGGAGCCCGAGGATGACTCAGCTTTGCTCAAACAGTGGCCCCAAGTCTGCCAGAGCTGGAGGATGAGGAAGAGTGAGGGAGAACAGAGGACTAGAATAAGCAAAGGTGCAGCTCCTGGAACACTGGAGCCTGGGCGGAAAGACACCCAGTCTTCCACATCAGTGAGGCCTCAGGCCTCTGTACCCGCTGATCCTCCTGGCCTGCTCACTCCCTGACCTCCTCCTGGCTGGCTCCTTCCCTTCATTCAGGTCTGTGCTCAAATGCACCTCATCACTGAGCTAATGACCACATTAGCTAAAATAATACCCTTCCCCACCTCTTTCTATGCCCCCAAACCTACTTTATTTATCATTTGTTCAACGTTCATGTTTTTAAGTTATTGTCTGTCTCTTCCACCTTCTGCTACCTAC